TTTTTCCCCACCCTTATCCCGCCCTTCCCACCCATCGTCCCCAGTCCCTTTCCCTTTGGTAACTATTGGTCCATTCTTGGGTTCTGTGATTCTGCTGCTGTTTAGTTCCTTCATTTTTCCTTTGTTCTTATACTCCACATATGAGTGAAATCATTTGGTACTTGTCCTTCTCCACTTGGCTTATTTCACTGAGCATAATATCCTCTAGCTCCATCCATGTTGTTGCAAATGGAGGATCTGTTTTTTTCTTATGGCTGTGTAATATTCCATTGTGTATATGTAACACATCTTCTTTATCCATTCATCTACTGATGGACATTTAGGTTGCTTCCAGATCTTGGCTATTGTAAACAGTGCAGTGATAAACATAGGGGTGCATCTGTCTTTTTCAAAGTGGAGTGCTGCATTCGTAGGGTAAATTCCTAGAAGTGGAATTCCTGGGTCAAATGGTATTTCTATTTTGAGCATTCTGAGGAACCTCCATACTGCTTTCCACAATGGTTGAACTAGTTTACATTCCCACCAGCAGTGCAGGAGGGTTCCCCTTTCTCCACAACCTCGTCAACATTTGTTGTTTGTCTTTTCGATGATGGCGATCCTGACTGGTGTGAGGTGATATCTCATTGTGGTTTTAATTTGCACTTCTCTGATGATTAGTGATGGGGAGCATCTTTTCATGTGCCTGTTGGCCATCTGGATTTCTTCTTTGGAGAACTGTCTATTCAGCTCCTCTGCCCATTTTTTAATTGAATTTTTATTAGGTAGTAAATAACAAGGATTTAGTGCAAGAAGGTACCAACTTGTGCCTATGAATGTTATACATATTTTAAGAATTAAAGTTAATTTGGGAACTCCAATTATATTATTTTGAAACTGTATCTTGTACAATTAATATCCATAGACATGTATGTCATCATGTTTTTAAGTTACCTCAGTTACCCATTCTGGGGGGTGGGGGTCGTAACATTAATTAGCTATCTTGTCACCTCAAGGCAACTACACACAACACCCTGAAGGAAGCACCCCAGTGCAGCCCAGGGCTCATCCATCATTTTGTGGAGTCACCTGACCTCTTCTGCAGCCCATCTGCCACCTGTTACCAGTGAGACGAGGATGAGTGTCCTGTGAACTGCGCTCCGCCCCTTCCTTCCTCCTAAGATGCCAAGGCCTCCTTCCCACTACAGCTGGGGCTGCTGTGCTGGGAGCCTTAAGCACTCAACCCAATCTCCCTGTAACGGTGTCATCATTTAGGAGGTACTGCTCACCTCTCTGGAAGCATTTTTAGCTTCTGCTGTTTCCTGCTGTTTCATTGTATTAGGTTGTTACCCTTCAGTTATCTTTGGCGTGGTAATTACTCTTATTTGTATGTCTCTGTCCCCTCTGTCCAGACATTCTACCCTATTTTTCCAACATTAGTTTTCCAAATTCTTCTCTTACTTTTTCCAAACTCGCACATTACTCTGATATCCCAGCAAGTCAGATCATACAGTTATTAGGATCACCAATCCGGGAGCCTAACTGTGCAGGTCTGAACCCCATGCTTCCCCCTATATTCCACCCGGGATACTAGGGCAAATTACTAACCCCCTTGAGTCTCAACTTCTGCACCCCTTAAAGGGAGATCATCAAAGTATCTCTTTCATAAGGTTACTGTGAGAACTTCGTATCCTTAAATTCATACCCAACATTTCTCCCCAGAACTATTCCCATAACCCTCACTAATTCAATGTCTCCCTCATTCTTATTATTTGTATTTTAAAATTTGCCCAGATGTTGTAACAGACCTGCTTTTAAAGGAATTAAATGTTTGTTCAACCATATGTTCAAGGAAGTAAAGCAATTTAAAATAGTTATAGAGGCTCCAGTTTCTACCTTTTTCGAGTCCAAAAAGCTAGCTCCATTTTAAGGACCCTAACTCTGCGTATTTCTATTAACCTTATTGCCAAAGAAAGTTCTAACTCAATTTGGAGATGCCAAAAAGTACACTAGAATTGTATAAACATATATATGAGCAGAGAAATATTAATTCTTTTCCTGTCTTCATTGCTCAACAAAATTAGACTTTATTTCCCCCTGAGGTCTAAGAAAAATATCTATTTGGTCAATTTTTTTTTATTATTACTCTTTTCTGCTATATTCAGGATATCACTGTCAAGCTGATTTTCTTTCACATTATCTAATACTTACTACTCTCTTCTTGAGTTTGTACTGGCTTGTGAATTTCAATGTGTCCCTTCTATAGGTAAAGCTCCGAAGACTCCCTTTAGCGTATCTTTCCCTATGGCCAGACTAGGTTTCCTCCTTGTAGCTCTCCATTGCTTGGCCCTCTCATTCTTTACTAGGTGTTTATTTACCACCTATAAACAGATATTCAGAGCCTCTACTGTGTGCTAAGTACTATCTGATGCATGTAGCACTGCCAACAGAGGCCTCCTGAGTGAGGAGAGTTGAGAGTGACTTGGGCAACCTTCCATACACAGTCCTCTTCGCTTACAGGTCACCAGCCAACCTGTTGATCCCCGCATGTCTACCTCTCTGTCAGCTAGGACACAAGGTGCTGAATTCTCTAACTCCTCAGGTCTCTAAATACAACAATGCCTCCCATTCAAGATGCATCCTCTCCAGATCTAACTTCTAGTTTGTGGCAAATACAGGAGACAGAGGAACCTGCCAAATGACATTTTGAGAAGACAACCAAAAGAAAACCCAGAAGATGGAGCATTCTGTGTGACAACTAATCCATCCCTTCAACAAATCACTATCAATGAAACGAACTATCCCAGATTTTTAAAAGGCACTCAAGAGGCAAAACATCCGGATGCAATGCGATGTTCTAGATTGGACACTGGATTAGATAAACAGCTATAAAGAACTTGCTTAGATCAACTGGGGCAATCTAATCTGTGTTTTAGATTCAAATGTACTGAAATGGCAAAGTAGAGATCAGTGACTGAATGCAGGTTGTAAAAGAGTATGGATAGTTTTTGGTTAAAACTTATGTATGTATTTTTAAAAGATGATCTGAAAAATATGTGTTAAGGTGCTACTAGTAGTGATGTCTGAGTGGTGGGAATGTGATGTTTGATTTTATTTTCTATATGCCTGTTTATGGCTTCAATAATAAAAGGTTGGTTTTTTTAATAACACATTTTCTCCCAGAAGACTCATCTAAGAAATTTCATACCCACCAATTTCACTTAGACTCTTTAGGATGCGGGCATACCCTACTGCACAAGTTATGCTCAACTATCATACTTGAGCCAAGTTCTCTGGTGGTGTTTTTGTGTCTTGTCTCTAATTCTTCAACTTCTTTTGTAGTCCAAAATCACTCCTGGCAGGATATTTTTCTTGAGTATAACACCTTGTAATTAATAAATTCCTGCTGCCAATGTGACTGACAATATCAACAAGAGAATGAATGAAAATCCCACTGACTCTTAGCCGAATAAGGCTTAGTATTACACCAAAATCTGTATATACAAAGGTAGCATTTTATCCAAAATACAATGCTACACTTTTTAAAAGTCCTATTTAATACCAGAATTAATCTATAAGCCTATTGATCCTATTCCCAAATATTAGTAGACTAAATCATATACACTGCCCTCACATAATTCTAATGTATAACAAACAGCTTTTCAAAATCCATGCTAATCACTGGCAATAATAGGTTTTGTGAGAAATCCAGATAAGCATATCCATCTTTATTTGTATCTGATGTGATTTTGAAGGTGTTCTACCTCAAACATCTCAAAAATATAATGAGAAACTGTAGATATTTTATCTCACTCCCAGGGAATGCTGATAAGTAGGAAATCCAAAAGCAATTTGTAAATAGATGTTTACATTAATAAATCCTTTGGAAACAAGCCTCATAAAAGAACTTGAAACTAAGCACAGGCAACTCCAATTCAAAGCTCTCTCTAGACAAGATTTAAGTAAGTTTTCCTAAAAAGGCATTAAAGTGAAACAGTGCAATAACTCATTCCCAGCTTTCTACTTCATACCCTGAGAACCTCAGTGCTGCTACCAAGAGACTGAAAACATTCTTCACCTTGTATAAAAGAGAGGCAGTTGACAGAAGTTCAGGCATTGAATTACGAGCAGAGAGTTTTCATTCTCATTAAAAACTAGAATTGCTTTTGCTTTGCCTTGTTCTCTTTGGGGGCGTACAGTGTTTTCTTAACATACTGATTTCAGATTCTTTCCAAAAATCACTGTCTTCTCAATTATTTGAGTTGGCTGAAACACCAAGTCCTCTCTTAGACCTGACATATCAGTTTCAGTAAAAACGCATATTACTTTACACACAGGGGGCCAGTTGCTAAGCATGTTTTTACTAAAAGATGAGCTATTAAATAACTTTCTGATGTTAAATTATTTCAATTCATTATATCCTGATATATTCTGATATTCCAACAACATTCTGAATTCATGAAGTACCTCTTTGCCCCAGGGTTTAAGTTTCACTCAAACATAAATCCATTGATTTCCCAAACTGGTCCATGAAATCAAAAGAGCGTATTGTAACTCTGCATACACAGTACTTCCAGTATGAAGGTATAAATCAGTTGTGTTCAGAGAACTACAATCCTACCTCTTCCCAACAGAGAAACAAGAAAATTCAATACAGAGGTTGATCTTAAATAATGTCCTGTAAATATCTTAAGACTGAAGACATTTTTTTCTCCTCTGTTAAAAAGATGCATTTAATAAATAAACATGTGGCAGGTGAGGTTGCTATAAATTCTGAAAATGGCTTACCTATTAATGTAACTGAGGGCAACATAGGTTGGCTGTTGTAATTCTTGTTTTTCTAACACACGTGGATCTGTATCTGTAATAAAAACACAATTATGATTTTTTGGTTTTTGCATCAGAAAAGAGGAGGCTGCCTAATGAAGTAAAAGGCTACCCAGAGGAAGATTAATTTAGTATACCTCTTCTTAAAGAGAATTCAGTCAGCAAAGCAAGTGATTTGTTCATTCATTCATAAATAACAAGATATTGCATTACTTTTCAAGGAAATTCCAAACATCAACAGTGATAAAATGTCCATCTGTCACACAAACTCTTACACAATCCCCCTCATAAATATAGGTTTTCACTCTTACAGTTACAATGCTGGCATGGGTTTTTGGTGGTTAATCGGCCTAAGAAAGAAAGTCTCTGTTAATTATGCTCACTTCGATGCTGGAACAAATTAGCTGCCACTGGAAAGCTCTATCGGTTGGAAAATCGACTGAGTGTTGTTCTCATTCACTGAATACTTTTCTAGGTTTGGATTCACATTCTGGAGGGCAGCACCTATCTTTTTTAATTGTATAATAAGTTTATTATAACTTTTCTGGACCCTCAATAGACATTCTCATACTGGTTCAGAGTCCACAAACACCACATTCATCAGAGGAGTCCTTCCCTTTGAAGACACAGAGTCCAGCACCATAGCAACCTTCTGTAATGGTGCTTCTCCAACGCAACACAAAAAATGCACTTCACACTGCCAGAAATGTATTCGCAAGCTTCTCATATAAATGATCGTGCCAAATACATGCAAAAAAAAATGTATATAGTAAGATGATAAAAGGAGGAAAACAAAGCACATTTTTGTTTTTTTAGAAAAAGGTTCAGATGTTTCACACAGATCTCTTTTCATTATAGCCTTGTTTAAAACCATCTCATTATCAGAACTCGTCCAGCTGCACTTGGCAATAACACCTTCTTTGATGTAATGACAGATGTTTCAAGCACCTTTGTACAGGAAGTGTTTATTGCACGTGGTAGATGTAAGATACACTCATTCCAAAGTACATTAACAGGTGATGGGAGCAGGGGGAGCAGACACAGTGGCACAGAGCACAGGTGGCAACAATGATAGCATAAAAATCAATTTACAATGCTTTCAACTCCCAGACTAAACCTAGACAGTAGTGGCAATTTTATTCTTGGTGTTAAAGTTAAGAATCTCATGTTCACTTTATTGTTTTTTCCTGGGCCAAGAATTTCTGAGACATACTATTTAGAAATTGTGCTTCCTGGGTCTTTGCCATAACTGGTCCTTGAAAGCCAAATTCTGAAACAAGAGACAAAGATCCTCTGAATGGCTCCATCAAGTCGGGTCTCAAGGTTTTGGCAGAGCAAGTGAGAACAGTTCAGTAATTCAACATTTCCTCTCCCTCCTACAATGATTACATATGCAACTGAGGCTGTTTGTAGATCACTGGCCTACAGACACACCACTCTTCAAGGGAAATTTCATTTTCAAATACAACCTGCACTCACGCTCATCTAAGTGTGCTGGAACCCCAAAGTACATCCATGTTTCTGAGAGGACTGCTTTACTTCACCTGTATCTGCTGGAGAGGAGTCAGTAGAACAGTGCTCACTAGGGAAAGGCATAAAATCCTCAAACTGGCCCACTGGAATGCTGCGCAGGCCATGTGTGCAAGCGGTGACTGACAGACCAATCCTGCAAGGGCTTTCTGGGTGCTTAATGAGGTAAGAAGAAAGAGATTGGGGACAAAAGTCACAAAAGTGAAAAGAAAGGGGGAAGATAAAGAATAAGGTAATGACTGAAAATGTCTGTGTGGAAATTTCTCAAGTGTTCACGAAAGTTTGACCTCAAGTTTACGCACTGGTGATTGAGGTGCTGAGCTTGAGCCAGGGGCCTGAACCTGATTCGCTAAAATCATTCCTTCACAGAGGAACCTGGTACAGGATTACATAAGGTACCCTCTTTTGAAAGAGCACCATTCTGAGTCTAAAATGCATGCATAAAAGGGGAAAGTTAACAGGCCAATAAACATTTTTATGTCTTCCACTGCTGCCTTATTCCTATAACTGATGCTCAGTCTAGCAGTATTCCCATCAATCTTCTAAAGCTTTCCTTTGTTTCCAAATCATATAATTTCTAAAATATTTTAAGTATTACCTATCATGACATTTTTCTTTTATTATTGCACATGCATATGCATGTCAGAGTAGGTGTACACACACATACATATTTGTATTACTCTCTTCTGCTTCATGCCCCAGCACCTCTTTGGGGAAGGGGAAGAAAGAACTTTATATAAAATTCTACAGTTCACCAATGCTCAAATAAATAGTGTTGCCACTGACATCACACAAACTATATTCTGTAATCTCATTTCACAAAGAATCAAGAATGTTTGTATTCTATTTGCAAAGTGACGTTTTGAAAACTTCTGTACTTTGTTTCACCACCTCCTATAACCTATGCTAGACTTACACTCACATACCCTCAAATTCCGAGTGGTTAAATGGATTTCCAGAAGCTTCCAAATGACATCCTCTCCAGACCATCTGGAAGCACCTTGGGCAGAATTCTCATTTTTCTAGAATGAAGACTCTGGCAACCAACAAGAAAGTAGAACTTACAGACAGAAATCCACAGGGCCTGAAACATCTTTTTCAGATTAAGTGTTTCCTTGGGAAGCCTTTCGAACACCCATTAAAGCTTTGAGTTCTTAAAACAAAATGAGGCACTTGGTGCCCACAAATCAGGAGAGGCCTGCAGAAGTACTACTGGGGGAATGGCATCAGCTCTGTCACTCGCTTCCTGGCTGACTAGTGTGCAGTGATCATGACTCACCATTTTATGGATTTAATTACGCCGTTGAGCCCTTCACATTCAGTAAAAGTATAATAGCTGCCTTCATTATTTCTCCATCCCTGACAGGAAAGTAACTGTCAGATGCTAAAAACTCTCTACAGGCAAGGATTAGAGCAACAAGAGATGAGGGTTTTCACAGCAGGAATGACGTACTCCTCATGAAGACAGAATGTACATTATTGGAATGAACTGTGGGAGTAACACTATCCACTGGCTGTTACTGAATTCAATAAAAAGAACTTCCTTATGCCATGTGCCACACCACTGAGAATTTTTTCCCATGTAAGTTGCTACAATAAGAAATGTGATATGAATTGCAATGTTTCTAGCACAGAATCTCCTAGATATTTCCCTGGCTTGTTTGTTTATAGTACTGAGAAAAACATGAAAGTGAAACCATTGGCTACTATTGCCCAGAGATAAAATCCTTAGTAAATGGTCTGTGGAATAAAAACTCTTGAATTTTTCATAGCCACATGATGCTCCTAAAGCTGGCAACTGGCAACAAAGCATTCCATAATGTGGCTGTTTGCAGCCCCATATAACAGCAGTGTACCACTTCTCTATTGCTTAGAAGTGAGTGGAAAATAAACCCCAATATTTCCAGCAAGGCAGAGTGTGGACCAGAAAAGCACTGAGACGCAATTCTCTTCTGCCTCCTACTAGCCCAAGCATTCACAGACTTCAGGTTGACTCAAGGCTAAGAGAAGCCCTCTGTAGCTCATATGGTCTAAGGGATTTGTGGCTTGACAGGTTCAATTAAATGGCAAAGGGCTTGATGTCACAGCACTAGCCCACTACTTCTCAAGCAGCAGGAAATGAGGCAGATGGCAGAAATAAGACAGCAGTCAGACCCTTTTCTCAGTAGGAACTGGAATGGCACATGACCACGGGAAGACAAACAGGACAGAACACTTCATTCAATCAGTGAGGCTGTGTCCATCGACTGCTGTCTCTGGCATTGGGAACCAATGGCAACTGAGCCGAGCGTCTGGAATGTGACATGAGTTAAGGCGTTTGTAGTGTTACCTTCAGGCCTAAGTGAAAACTATGAAGGTTGTTTGCTGGGTTAACTGAGGCTAATTAATGAGCTCATGGGCTTTGGCTATGCTTTAGCTGGTCCACATGTAGCTGGGATTTTTATACACCTGGAATTACTTCTATCTTAAGAAAGTCAGAAACCAGCCATACTACCTCTCAATAGGACTAATGAGGACTCTATCAGCCATAAGCTCTTTGTAGCCTGGGAGGCAGCAGTGAGGGGAAGATCAAGCTCCCCAGAAGGCCTTCCTCAAATTCTATATCCTCCGAACACCGGATTGTTTTCTAAGCATATATGGCAACAGTGAGAGGCCTGAAAGGATGTGGGTGGTAAGCCAGTGGGCAATCTGCAGCCCCAGAAGACCCAGGGAAGGCAAAGTCCCACCCAGCCAGAAGAATGATTTTTGGAGCTGTGGGCTGGATTCCCCACTTTCTCTTCGACTAGTAACTAGTAGGCACAGTCTGTTCTCAGTCTTTCCCCGGCAGCTGAACTCGTAAAGCCAGCGCTGTAGTTTATTCGGCAAAGCCTGCCACAACATCCTAGGTGAGTTCATCACATCCTCCTCCCTTCTCTGCCCTGCTTCATTGCCAGCACTGGCCCTGTATGGCACCATAGAAGCATTATCTGAGTATATCCTTTTCCCTTTCCACACTTCCCAGAGGGGAAGAATGACCCCACCTTCTCTTATCTCTCCAGCACTCAGTTCAGTGCCTGGCACAAGGCAGATGCACAATTATTGATTGGATACCCTAATGAGTTTTATGATGAGATAATTGAACTTTTGGTGAAACGTGGAAGATTGATCAAGGGCAATTATTTCCTTCACCACCCAAGGCCTCACTAAAGTAGAAATAAAGGAATAAAAACTCACCAGGAATATAAGAAAGAAAGGAGAGATACCGGCAGACAAGTGCTTTCAGCCAGTTGTTTTGCAAGATGGAAAACCCATACAGGCATGGAAAGTCACCTAGAGAGCAGAGGAAGCTATATCCTCAAATGCCTGCAGTGGGGGAGACCGAGAGCCAGGAGGTAAACCTGCTGTAGAAACCCGGAGAGGCCCTGGACTTGGTGGTGCTGGGTATGGTAAAAGGCAAAGAAGGGAGGGTTCAGGGCAGAAGACAGGAGAATCACTTAAAAGGTATCCAGAGACCCGGAATAAGGA